ATAATGTTTGTTTGAATTTGTAGAATGTACAGGGTTGCATCTGCACAAAAAGGTAGCGGTAAGCCAATTAAATGGAATAGTGTGAAGGTATGTTACATCCTTTCTATCCTACAATTAATCTTAGGAAAGTAATCTTGAAATGGAATTTTAATTTATTATACGTGTGATGTGAACTATACAGGTTGCACAACAAACCGGAAGTACTGAATGTGGATATTATGTCATGAGATTCATGTGGGAAATAATATCATACTCTGAAAATCATGATATTGGAAAGGTATGAATAAATTGTGAGTTTGCAAAGTTATTATATATATATATATATATTGTATTGTAATTAAAGTGAAATATATTTGTGATCATTTCAATACAATTCAGGTATGGCGTTCAAGAAGTGAACCATACACATTAGCAGAGTTCAATAATATCAGAAATGTATGGTCAAGATACTTTCTGGATGTTGTATTGCAAAGTTGAGAAAAAACTATTTAGCCAAACAATTTGTAATGTATGAAATTTGTAATGTATGAATGTTGATTGGATGTTTAATTAAACACGTATTTGATTGTGCATTATGCGTTTTTATAGATGATATGGTACTGTTTTTATCGGATATGTTTGATTGTATGGAGTTAGTTTTATGTATTTTTACATATTATAAACAGGGCATCTAGCTAAATTTTTAATACAAATATTTTTGATTAAATAAAATTTCAGAGGCGCTTCAACCTATAAAGCGCCTCTAAAAGTTTTTCAAATTCAGAGGCGCTTTTGATCAAATAAGCGCTGCACGCGTCACAAAGATTTTCAAATTCAGAGGCGCTTGTGATCAAATAAGCGCCGCACGCGTCACAAAGATTTTCAAATTTAGAGGTGCTTTTTAACAAAGAAGCGCCGCACGCAAAGCGAAAAAAAAATATAAAAAAATTGGAGGCGCTTTTTGCAGAGAAGCGCCTCTAAAAACACGTTGCGGCACTATTCATTAGAGGCGCCATAAAGCGCCTCACGTGTACAAAAAAAAAGCGCCTCGAAATGACGTTTTTGCACCTGTGAGTAGATGTCACTCTGGTTGTTATGGCATGATCATAACGATCAGCAAAGATAACGTAGCCCCCCGGGGTCGTGTTGATGCCCGTTATCATCACTATAGAGATAAACTCTGAAGCGATGGCCTGAACATGCTGGTGAATTCTGTGTTGCAACAATGAATTCTGTGAATTCTGGGAATTCTGGCCTGATCAATGAATGTTCAGTGGCATGGGGCTGTGGGCCACTGTAGTCAGTATCAGTCGCCTCAGAAGGAGACGATGATTAGAGATTAGGTTCCCCGTGAAATATGATTAGACACATGTCTGTTGGGAGACATGTGAGTGATCTTAGGTAGGGTTGTGCATGCGCCGTTTGGACAAAATGCAGCGACTTCTACCCGGGATCTGAATAAATTCAGTCTTGAACCTATGGGGATTGTCCACAGTATTTGAGTGACTGGGAGTAATTCTCTCGATTGATAGCACAATAGAGGTAGCAGATTTGACAGTGATTATTGTTCTCTTGCTCAGTTGAGCTTTCTGCTTCCTCACTCTCATAGTGTTCACTCAGCTACTCACTCACTCTCGGCTTTGTCCCTTGGGTAGGCTTAGTTGGGTTTACTAAGCCATTAGGACTTATCTCTCATTTTTCTTTGATCTTTTCTCTCCGTGCTCCCCCTCAACTGGAGCATTCAGTAGGATGCCTTTCATGATGGTTGGCACTTGGGAGGAGAACTTTGAAAACTCCCCCTTAGAATCCGCATCCTTGAGAGAATTATTGCATTTTACATTGTCTAGCACCAGGAGAAGAAAAATAAAACTCCTCCTCAAAAGTTGCAAGTTGTGTTGTTTCTACCCGGGGAGTAAAGTAGAAAACTCCCCCTTGGAATGTGCTTTATTTGTTGTTTGGCTCCAGGAGGAGTGAAAAAGAAACACTCCCCCTCAGAATAAGCACATGTTGTTTGTTCTTGGCACGTGTTGGTGTTGGGGTGTGCATTTGATGATGTTCAGCTCAGTGGAGAGTATACATGCCAATACTCTCCTTCATAATGTGCACCAATTGATTGCTCGCAGCTCGTCTTCATACCCACCATGTGTGTGGAGCAATCGGGTCAGTTACCACACATGACAGACCATCAACACAGATTAAGTATGTGTTGGTACCCACCTCCAGATGGGTCCTTCCTTGTCACCACTGAAAACCCGTTTTAGTTTCTGTTTGATTTGTGATCCTAAGCTAGCTGATTGAGAAGAGTCTAACATTCTTAATTTCTCAGCTTCAGCCTTAGGAACCCATTGTAATTTGATCTTTGGAGCAGGAGAGGTTACACTAGCAGTGAGTGAATGTTCAGATAGATAGTCTTTTAAGATTGTTTCTTGAGAGAGTCTTCTCAAATGTCTGAGTGAGTAAACTTTGAGGGGATACTTTAAACATGGTAATTGATACTCCCCCTCAACATTTACTTTAGCGGAACCTGATTTCTTCGGACATTTCTGAACATTCCTCTTCTTATCTTGGTTGGAGGAGACATCAAATTCAGAGCAGCAAGTTTTTACTGGCTTAACACAGTTCAGAGTAGCAGAGCTTGAGCAGTTATTCTTAAGAAATGTCTTCTTTTTGGCATAGAAGAGAGCACTTGAACACCAGTTCCTACTCCTTAGACGAGATTCTTCTTCCTTCTTTCTTCTTCTTAACTTGTCCTCTATCCATTCTCCTCTCCTTTCCGCTCTCCTCTTCACAGGGCCCTTGTCGGTGAAGGTGACTCAGAGTGAGAAGTGGAAGTTTCAGGATCATTTGTAGATTTTTCAGAACAGTTCTCAGAAGACGGAGGAGAAGGAGAAACGCAGTTTTCAGATGATGGAGGAGAAGGAGATTGTGAGCCTGTGCTTGATTGAGAGGATGTTTGGAGCAAAGATATTTCATTCAAGAGCTGTTCTCTTTCCAGTTCAAAAGCTTGTTTTTCTTTATCAAAAGCTTCTTTCAATTCAGCAAACTTTCTCACAAGGGGTGGAATGTATGCTGGTTTGGCTACAGGCTCTGAAGTTGAAGGTTCCTCTTGATCTTGCACAGAATCTTTTGCAGGGTAAAAGGTTGGAATCTCTTCAGGAGGAGTCAACGGTGGCTCTTTTGTTTCATAGCTCTCGTTCAAGGCAGCATAATCAAAAGGAATTTCTATTCCGAGATTAGCTCTCTTGTCATCTTCTTCATCATTCGTTTCTTTAACACTGAGGAAAGACATCAACTTAATCAGTCTAAGACCCATATAATTGATGTCATACAGTTGAGCACAATTCACCTTCTTCAAATTACATGGGTTAGACAGACCAAGTCCTTCTTTAGAATTATAGAAACAGGTGTCTTTGGGTTGGTTCAAGAAGATTGTTTGTTCAGTCTGCCCCTTTGTAGCAAGTAAGTCTTCAAGATCTTTGATCTTACGGTAAAGGGCACTTCTTTTATTTTGAAGAAAATCGTTATCAGCTTTTGATGTGCTTAGCTCTATCTGGGTCCGATTCAACTCCTTTGTTAGATCAGCTATTTTCAGAGTCAGCTTCTCTGTTTCCAAAGTTATTTTATTAACCTCTTCTTTGGAATTGTCCAATTGTATACTCAATGAGGTGGACTTATCCAGCTGATTCAGTAGGACTTTGTGATTATTTGCTAATCTCTCTTCCAATTCCTTGATGATTTTGTCCTTATCTTTTGAAGAATGAGTTTCACAAATACATGAACAAGGAGATATAGCGTCCATTGCTGTTGATTATTGAATGTTGACCGTAGACGTGAGGTTGATTGAAGTTTCTGTAATTTTCTGGACCTTGAAATGTGGTTTGGACCTTGAGAAAAAATAGTCTTAACCTTGAGATTTTTTTATTAACTAATTAATTAATTAATTTTAATTAATATATATTTTTTTTAATCTCAAGGTTGACTCTTAGAAGCTTTGGTGTAAGGTTGACCTTTGCTGTTGAAAATTTGAGCTCAAAAGTTGAAATGGGCTCAAAAATAGCTCTTGAAGTTGAAATTTTTTTAAAAAAAATCTACTTATCCAAGTGTGGGGAGAAAAGGAATCTTTTAAGCAATCCCACACTTAAACTCATTGGGAACTTTTGAGCCTATAAATATGAATCACTCCTTCCTTTTATTAAAAGGTGAAGGAGAATAGGGGAGCTCTCGCGCACATGGGATTTCGGCTTTCAGTTCAAAATCGAAAATTCGCACCCCCCTGCGCGGGCGACCTGCGGACACGAATGCTGCAAAATTCAGCGGGTCTCAAAAGACAATTTTGCCCCTAAACACAGCCTGTAAAAAAACTTGATCTCGAGATCTAAGTATCGAGATCTTCTAAATTGAAAAATTGTGAAAATAAAAAACTACGATATACTGCTTGGTCGTTTTTGAGAGGCGATTCCAACGGTATAACTTTTACAAATTTTCGTTCAAAAACAAGATTACAGGAACAAATCTCTATATCAAAGAAAAATAGAAGAAAAGCAGAGCAGTTCTTCGTAAGATCAGAAAAATCGCAGATACATTCAACCTTTTTCACGTCTCGGCTCTGATACCAAATGTTAGTCCCAATATCAATCAACAATCATACAAACAATATAACGAGTACAGAAGAAACGATGATCCGATTCAATACCAATAAAGATGTCGAAATACAGAATAGGGTATGAACGGTTTTTTTCTCCCTTCTCACTAAAAATGATATGTGCGTTGAGGCATATGTGAGAGTTAGAGTTTGCTTAAGTTAGCATCCTTTTATACATAAGATGTCTAACTTAAGGCTTACAAGTGGGTTAATGGGCTGAAATACATTTGTGGCCCATATTACACATTTAATTAATAACTACACAAATACAAAGATATTTAATTAGATTGAACACCATAAAATATTCCCAACAAAGACCTTACCAGGCACCAATTTTCATCCGAAAACAGAAAAAAACTAACAACATTTGTGAAAGGACCAAGTAAATTTTAATATTTTAGCATTAACTTGGATAAATGAATCACAGAATAAAAAACTTCCACTTCAACACATTTAACCTTAAATACAACTCAATGCAGATAAAAAAAACAATGTCAAAGTTATGTACAAAAACTAAAATAAAAAAGGAAAGAAACATGGCAGAAATCACCCTTCCAACAAAAATTTGCTTTATACGCATTACCATCCAATTCTCGATCCCTATTTTTTGGCCACGGAAGAGGATATGTTGCATGAGATTGAGGAGGGCTTTCGACCTTAAACGACATTGCAGTTTGAGCTTTTTCAAATATGGGCGTGGTAGGGCAAGGCCACTCACGATTTCCCAGTGTGGTGTAAAGGAGCCACCCAATCACAACAATTCATATGAAATATGAACCATTGCATACAGAGCCAATGTTGATCCTGCTTGACCCCCCGAGTCGCGTTTATTGAAGAGTTCGATACATTGCTTCCTCATCTTTTAAACATGTGGTTGTGGTTTTTACGACATCATCGAGAGCAATAATAATGTGTGCTCAAATTCTGCTCTGCAATAACAAGTTTGACATGTATAAGAGCAAAAGGCCAGAAACTACCTGAAAGGTTAACATTCAGAATAGCTGAAAAGAATTCACAAAATGCCAACTTAATTGATCCATAAAAGTAAGGAATGCCAGAACTGCCAAGGTTCAAGCTCAATTCACTCAAACCAATCTCTGTTGAAATAATAGACATGAAATAATTAAAAATCATGATAGAGTAAACAAATACTAAAATCACATAAGCATCCTACATAATGAAGTAAATTATAAAATGAGAACTGGTTAGTCAAACGATAGATTAAAATAGAAAAATAAGATTTGATATATCAGAATGTCACTTAATTATTAGAACAATATACAGTATCAAACAACTTTCTTTCATGCTAGCCTGCTAGGTATGCTTTGGACAATGAGCAAGTAAGAAAACAGTAACACTCTTCAATTCTCTGCACAGTAACAATGAGTTTTTTATTTTGTTGTTGCCATATTTCTTCTTCAAACTACAGTTATCTACCTTACAGTTTACACCAACACTCTTCAAATCTTTGCAGAGTAACTCAACCCAGCTTAAATTTAATGGCTTAGTTCTTGCACTTCTCGGTAAATGGTAATTCTTTTTATCGTTTTCACTTCTCATAACTCAACTTTTTCCTTTTTCTTTGGGGATTTAAAAAATCTATTTTCTGTCAGTTTACCTTCCCTATTAATCTATGATGAAAAATGGAACTCTGGAATTATTTACGTTAGGACTGGGTTGAGCCATTAAACTCTACACTTATGGGGGGGAAATCCTTTTTTCTAATTGGGAGCAAATGTATAAACTAACTTTTTTCCTGCTAGTTTATGTGGCACTACTGGACCTTTGTTTGGGGGCAGCTGCCCCCACTAATGACTATGTAGATCCGCCCCTGAGCTCCGGTAGTCTGGTGAAAATAAAAAAATTATGTTTTACACATGTCACTGCAGACACCATGTGACTATATAAATGCTTGAACAAAGACATAAAACATGCTTGTAGGAGTGAGCTAAATAGACCATAAAAAGCTGAACGTACCAGTACATTCTTTCACTATCTGAGCAGTTTACCTTTTGCACCTTTACGTTCGAAGATGTGACTCCTTCAAACATTTACGTTAGAAGATATTTTCATTGTAATTATGTCAATTTATTTATCCTTCATTAAGGGATACTTTAACCTCTGGTATGTGGGAAAGAATCCCTAGCTCCATATGCTTACACCCGCCTAAAGTTCCCATTCATTTCTTCTATAGTTTCATAAGCATCAAGGCATCATGTAGATAAGAAAGTGAAACTTCAACAAACAAAAGAGCTACCTTGAATCAATGCTTCAGTCTCCTTCTCCCTTATTTGCTGTGCATTGTATTGTCTCAAGACAGGTAAAAGCACCAGCAAGATATACTTAGAGTACTCGACACGCTCGTCTTTGTTGTATTCAACTTTTATACCTTTCAACTCCTATATTGGGAATGCAATCCAAATAGTAGCAAAAGAAGTTGGCACACATAATTAGCACGCAGCCATGCCACAACTTATAATTTAGAAGCAATATAAAATAAAACAACCGCAACCAACCCTTATAGGTCCTTCCTACCGTAAACATGATTTGCAATTGAAGTTTTTCAGACAAACTGGGAACTTCTCTGCAAAGGCTTCCTGCGTCATACCAGAATACCTTATCACAGAATGACATAAATGAATGAATGAGACCTCACACAAAAAACACCTAGTATGATAAGGGCATAACGTTTGAGAGCAATATGTGAGGATTAAAGGAAATATAATAGGTCCAAATGTCCGATCAAACCCAAAAGATATGTTTTCATATCATTACAACTAAGAATAGCGTTTGATTAGAAATACAAATTATTCAAAAATAAAAAACATGAATCAAAATTGAAGTCCCTCAAAAGCACGGGGGATTTTGAACAGGATCTGAAACTGTCTGAACAAAAGCACGGTTTTCCTCATATCTTCCTCAGATAGATTATCATCATGGGATAAGTAATGGGCAATTGAGATAATATTATGCGTTGGATCAGATTGGACATCATCATTTCCAGGTAATTCCATTTAACAACATTGTCAGCAGAAGCAAGATCACTGTGAGCATCATTCAGTTCAGCGTTTACTGTCAAAAGGGGATGAGCAATGCCATCAGTTACCGCCTTATTACAGGTAGCCACCGGGGGCTCATCCCGGGTTACCATAACATCAGAGTCATGGACTGCAGACGCCTGAGTCTCTCGAAATTCGTCATTGGCCATAATAAGAGTAGCCAGTTCCTTAGCACAATCTGGAAAAGCATTCCCAACAGTAGGGGCAACACTCGTATGGTTACCAGTGACACCATCATCTACATTAATAGAGGCATAAAAAGAAGCATCAATAGGGTTGGGTCTTCATTGGCAGAAATGTCATGAATTGGGTGAGCAACAGGGTCATTGTTTGCTCCATCTGTAACAGGGGCATGAATTGGGGGGTGCAACAGGGGCACTGTTTGCACAATCTATAAGTGGAGTATTACAGGTAACCAGATAAGCAGCTGTTAGTGCATAATCAAATAGGGGAGGGGGACTTTCTGTAACAAATATAGGGGCATTAGTTGGAGCATCTACATGGACAGAAACATCTTCATCAGAAACACAATTAACCTCAACCAATTGTATCATAATTGGTTTTGGTTCCAGATTAATTGAAGTCCTGACCTCCTGGGACATTTTGTATTCAGATGATTAAACCTAGAACAGATATTGCAAAAAGTAGGAAAATTTTCATACATCACAGACTGAAAAAATCCTGAAACACCATTATTAATCCAAATTTTATTGTGCAAGCCTTTAGAAACATCAAACTCAATACATATTCTCGCTGTTGTGGGTCTAGAAAATTGGAAATTAGAGGATAAAACCTGGGCGTCGTCTTCAGAGAAAGATACCGCTGGGGCGCAAGTTGCTTGACCTGTGGTTCCAGAAATTGAACATCGGAGAATAGGCACAGTTGAGGATGCAGGCGACGGTCGTGGAGGGTTTCCCTTACCGCCGTTGTGTATGAGGGGCCGATTCGAGCGTTCGCAAGTTGCCCCTCCGCTCGAATAGAGAACTCCAGATTGTAAGAGCGTACCTCTGTACCAACACCACCACCACCCACCACTCGAACACTCCAACAGTGACCAAAGGGACGGAGAAGCGACACAAAGATGGTTAGTTAGAGTTTCTGCGGTGGAGCGAGCAACAAAGCCAAATCAACCCATCATCGGCGAACAGTGGCCGTTTTTCAAGTGGGTGAGCGATCAAACGGGGGAAGAAAACGGAAGTTTAAAACATTGTATTGTAGTAAGGTATAAATGCCCAAACTAACTTCCTTACACAATTTATATATAAGGAGATATGTGATTTTATTAATTGCACTTGAGTATATGAGCTATTGGGAATATAAATTGAAATCCAATTACATTTAATACATTTAATAATAATAATAATAATACTAAATTGTTTTGGGCTTCCACCTAATATGATTTAGAACATTTACCTTGAACACAGTTTGAATCGACATGGACCTTGTAAAAGATGATTTCGGCTAAGATGATTCCATCCAACGAAGAATGAAAGTGAAGGAAAGGAATAACTTCCGGCCAGATGATTTCGGCTAGATGACTACTTCTGGGCAGATCACGAGGTGATATTGTTTGCCGGACGATGATTTTCGGGCAGATGACTGAAGGACGGGAGGGTCCGATGAATTCGGAGGTCCTGGTTCAAAATGTAATACCGAGGTCTCACATTAATATAAAAAATAAAAAAAATCAATATAAATACTTATACTCAAATCAATTGAATATTGATTAAAAGAGAAGAGAACTAGATGAGTAAAAAGACCAACGAAAGAAATGATGGATGTATATATTTCTTCCTTAGTAAGGATATTTTACTGATTAGTATTAATTTATATGATGGATTATAGGTATCCAAGTATATCCTTAACTATGAACTGATAAGACATCAAGGATAGAGAGATTGATTGAAAAAATATATTTACCCTTTTTTAATTTATAGATGACCCTAACGCAGAAGATATTTGTAGAAGGAAGTCGAGGAACTCAAATGGAGAAGGATGAAAGTCATGGAGGGAGGGTTAATTGGACTAAAGAATTGCTTCATTTGTTTTGTGATCTTTGTATTCAATACGTAGAGATAAGTAAGGGAAAAAATGGTGGAATTGTTTCACAAAGGTTGATGTGGAAAAAAATTGAGTCGGAATTTAAGAGAAAAACTAACCTACCATGGGATAAAAACAAACTCAAAAATAAGATTGATTGGATGAGAGATAGATGGACTTTATGGAAGCAATTGAAGTCCAAAGCTACCGGATTAGGGTGGGATCACTTAAAGGGAACTATTGGGGCTACCGATGAATGGTGGACATTAAGAATTGAGGTTAGTATCATTTGATTTTAATTTATATTTTTTTATTTAGTTCGTATACTTAAAGTGAGGTAATTTGAAATTTTATGTATTTTTATTATAGGAAAATCCAAAGTTGGAACAATTTAGAAAAGAAGGAATTGAGCCAGAGCTTGAATGTAAATTTGAACAAATTTTTGGGAGTTATGCGAATGGGAATCTTAAGTACACCCCAGTATCTAGTATGCCACAACAAACTTTGCAAGATGGAGTTTGTGACATGCCTGTTCTGTCTCCACCTAATACCCATACTCCCCGTGTTAGTGTTGATGAGACACATGAGAACTACTACAAGGACAATAACTCTACAAGAAATGAGTCTTGGAATGATATGTGGAGAGATCTTAGCCCTAGCCCTACCTCTTCTCATGTAGCTCCCCATGATGATACTTATATAGAAAGGGACATCACAAAAAAGGGTAAGAGAGTTTTGGAGGGCGACTCGTCTCAAAACACTAAGAATGCAAAAGCAAAAAAAAGTGCGGCTTCAACTTTTCAGGAAATGTTTAGTGGTATGATGCAACAATTTGAAATGAGAAATAAAGTTGTTGAGGAAGTTGCTACTTCAGTGAAGAACATGACTAATGCGAATATGAGTGTTCTGAATTCAATGGATGCCCATACGTCAAAGTATAGTATTGAAGATGTTATGGCAAAGTTGTGTTGTTTACCTGATCTTGATCCACTTGCTCCCGAGTTTTTGTTTGCTTGCTCACTTTTGGAGGATCCCCAAAAGAGGACTATTTTGTTCAACTTACCGCATGATGAGAGCCGAGTTGCCTATATTCGGTTCATGTATATTGAGCACAAGAAAAGTGTGACCATTTAGACGTTTAGACATTTAAAATTTCTTAAGTTGAACATTTAAAACTTCTTGTGAACTTCTTTTTGTTATGTGATCTAAACATATTTTAAGCATTTCTGTGACATTTATGTTGTCATCATTATAACTTTAATTTTAAATGTTTACCTTTATATTATAAATATTTGATTGTAGGTGTTCATGGCTAATTACGACATGCGAAGTAGACAATTCCTTCTCCTATTTCAGCAACAGTACATCTTATGCCAACAATACTTTGAAATAGAGAGTGAAAATCTAGACATGATGACTTCTATGGCAGCATATATGTGTGACTACTATTTTAAAAACTTATACAAGGAACCGTGCATGACGTCTTATTTGACAGGAGAAAGATGGATGGATGAGATATTAAATGGCCATGGAAAACGATGTTTTAATGCGTTTAGAATGACTCAAAATACATTTCGCAATTTATGTGCGGATTTAGAGACCAAGTATGGTTTGAGGCCCTCAAGTAGGGTTTCAGTTTTGGAGAAAGTGGGTTTGTTCGTTTATGTACTAAGTAAGAGTGCTTCCAATAGAGATACCCAAGAACGTTTCCAACATTCGGGTGAAACTGTGAGTAGAATTTTCAAAGAAGTTTTGAATGTCATGGATGAACTTTGTCGTGACATACTCGTCCCAAAGGACCCCGACTTCAAACGAATTCCCTCACAAATTGCCAATGATGATAGATATATGCCACATTTCAAGGTAAATACCAAAAGTGATTAAACATGATAATATATTATGAAGTGAGAATATTAATATAATCATATTTATTGAATTATTATATTGAATTTTTATATTAGGATTGTATTGGAGCTATTGATGGTACACACATTGTAATAACCGTACCTGAGGAAGATCAAATACGCTATCGAGGAAGAAAGGGAATACCAACCACGAATGTTCTAACAGTTTGTGACTTTGATTTGCTATTCACATATGTTCTAACAGGATGGGAGGGATCAGCACATGATTCACGCATATTCTTAGACACATTGAACAATCCAAACCTTAATTTTCCAAATCCACCTCCCGGTATCTCACTGATTTTTTTTTTACATAGCATATATCATTTATTTTACAATTTTAATTTTACCTATACTTGTTGCTTTTATTTTCTTAGGAAAGTATTACTTGGTTGACAAAGGCTATCCAGAAAGATATGGATACTTGACTCCGTACCCTAAGACACGATACCATCAATCAGAGTTTCGTGGATCAAGACCAAGAGGTTCACGAGAAGTATTTAATCGAGCGCATTCATCCTTAAGAAGTTGTATTGAGAGAGCGTTTGGTGTTCTTAAGGCTCGCTGGAAGATATTACAAAAAATGCCAAATTATTCATTGGTGGATCAAAACAGAATTATATGTTCATGTTTTGCATTACACAACTACATAAGAAAAAGCAAACTTGATCCGGCTTTTGATTTCATTGATGAAGATCCTGAATTTATACCCCCTGACGTTATTCCAGATGTTCAAGCTAGTACTACACAAGTTGATGATGGAATGAGAAATCATCAGATGACGATCATTCGTGATAGCATTGCTTCTAGTTTGATGTCATAGGGATTTTATTCTTAATTTTACAAATATTGCAATTCACCGTATTACTTTTTTAAGAATTGTATTACTTCTTAATATTGTGTAGTTAATTGATGCATTTTATTGTCATAATTTTATCTAGTTAATTTTAAAATAATTTACTCGTATATATTATGTACATATAAATTAGTATAGTCATAACTTCGTATTAAACAAAACAAAAAAACATGCAAAATTATTAAAATGTCCTTTTTTGTCTTTTTACATATTATCCGCTACAAGCAAACAGCTAAGTTACCAAACATCTTTCTGCAACCCGTCAAGCAAATCCGCTGGTCAAATCCGTTGATCCAATCCGCCATTTACTACCCGCTAACCAAATCCGCTAACCGCTAACCGCTGAGTGCCAAACATGGCCTTTATAGCGACCCAACCTAGAGCTATCATCGATGCTTATATAGGTCCACCCAAAACATTGTGGAAATAAGAAAAGTCATATAATTAATGATTTCATTGTCATTTGACGACCACGAATTCTTTTGGGACTTAGATTTTATAGCGCAAACTAATTCACATATACAAATAAGTACGGGTTATACTTTAAACTGATGAAAGAGAGGTGTAGATCCAACCTTCAAGATTACCGAAGACAAGTGACAAGTGAGGAAGCAACACAAAGAGTAAGTTGACCACCATCAAAACCCTAACATTGTCTCCTATTTCCCTTTTTAGCATCTTGATGGCTGTTGATACCCTTAATCCTCACAACTTACACGTTTGTTGATGAGATAATGATGCCAAATTAGTGCCTCGGCACAAATATATATATGGTGTAATTTGTAAGGGGAAGGTGTGGGTATGGACATTCCTCCTAGCTCTATCACACGATCGCGAAGATTATGTTGCATTTAATTTGTAGGAGATTTTGTAACTTTTAAACTGCTGAAGAAAATATATGTGGTATATATGTATTAATGCATAATTAAGTGCTAACCATATATTGTAAAATCACTATATATAAGTTACATATCCTCGTTATTCTGGAGAATCGTGTATAGGAGAAAAGAGATTAATTTTGATCGAGATGCTCATATAAGCTTTGAACGAGATTTTGATCGAGATGCTCTTATATAATTTCACTAGCTTTCAAGAAAAATAATCGTATGTAATTTAGCTAATTTGAAATTTAATTTCTATCAGATCACATATAATGTGATTTAAAAGAAAAATAAACTTAATCTAATATAGAGTCTGTTTGATAATACTAAAGTAAATAGAATTAACTTATTTTGCTGAAATTGATTGAATTCTGGTTAAATAGGTGGAATCTTCTGAATCATGAAAAATATATGTGAAATATATTCCATTTGTGAAACAAAGAAAAAAATATATGAAAAAAAGTTAAATTGGTCTTCTACATAAGCATCTTAAGTAAACATAATTGTTATGAACCCAATAATGAAAAAAATCTATATTTCTTAATTGTTAGATCTTACAGTTTACTCATTAATAAGAACGTTTTTAATTGAATTAAAATTTCGGGTTTGATTTGGTATGAATTAATATGGTCTATTAGATGTCTGTTTTTTATGTGATTTATTGTTATAATTATTAAAGTTTGATCTGATCTGATTTAATCTGGAACTGAAATCAATCCAATTCAAAACATTCTATTAAAATAAAAGTAGGAATTCGTAAACCTATAAAGATTTTCTAATTTGGATTAGGAATCTATTTCAAAAGTGAAGGCATATTTGAATTTTAGGTGTAAAATAAAGAAACAACCAAAAAAAATTACTTATTTGGCTAAGCTAAACATATTTACTTGAGAAAATATATATATATATATACTTTATGTTGGTTATAATTTTTAATTTCATTTTTAATTATTTACTTATTTGAAGCTTACTAATTTATTAATAGGTGTCAAATTAATAAGTAAACTAATTTGCATATTTATTTCTATTTAATTCGGTGTAGTAAACTAATACGTAGTATAAATTAGTTTCCATATCAATAAACGTTATTAGAATTTCACTTTGATAACCAAAAATTATTTTACTTATTTGAAGCTTACCAAATTAATTAAGGTGGATTTATAAGGATTTTTGTTTCCATATCAATATGCAATCAAAAATAGAATCTAATAAAAACAAAAGGTATAAAAATAAGTAAATAATTGTTATATATAATGACATGACAGGATTATGTGGCGCTTTGTATGCTCTTAAAAAGTTCCTCTTTTATATATATATTGATTGATATATTGATTTGGTGGTTTAACTTTTACATGCAAATGGATTGCATGTAAAATTTAGGGAAGCAGCCATTTTACATATGAAGTAGAAGATTACATTGTTTGACTAGATGTGACACAAAGGCGTTATAATGCTTTATAAAAAAAATAAGGAAAGTATTTTACCACTCTCCCTTCAAATAAAATATTTTACATGGTATAGTACGAAATGTTTTTAAAAAGTGTCAAACGATTTACATTAAATAATCAGACCAAACAGTGTAAATCTTTTACGCCCGATCCCTACACTTCTCATGCAAAGTAATTATTTTACATCGTACCAAAAAGGCTCATAGCTTTAGTCCCACCTAGAGCGGAGGTAAGGGCAGGGCTGGTGAATACATGTTAAAACGATTATCATGGACGTAGCCAGAGCACTGAGCTTGCCTTAACATGTACAAAGAATATTTTTGAGGAAAAATTTACACTAAATTTTCACACTAAAATTAAGTCATTTTTAAAGTTTAGCTCCGCCGGTGGGTTGTATGTAACATGGCCCATCAAATATGGGGCCCAAAATTTGTTAAAGTTTAGTACTCCATAGTACTAGTATATATATAACTACATAGTAGCGATCCTGTCGGGTTGGCCTGACAGGATCCGCCGTTCAACCAAGACCATTTAGCTCTTTTTAGTGGAATTTTTTTATAAAATGTTTTGAACATGTTCTTCATCAAGTCTAGTTTATGTCAATCAAATTTCAGCTTAAAATTCAATTGGGAAGAGAGTTATTAGTAATAGGGTTTAGTTTGTTCTATTGACGGCACGTGTGCGCCACGTTAGCGGGTGACCTGCTGACATGGCAAGTAACCTGCTAATTGGCTCAATTGAACGTTTTTTTCAAAGTTTTAGATTTGATTGGTTTTTTTAAGTATGAGGACGTAATTGATTTATTCGTGATAGTACGAGGACCAAATTGACAATTTTCTCTTTTAAGGAAAATCTTTGTTCTCTTCTTGATCGCATGAAAAGCAGTAAAATATTGAATGATAGTAATATATTATATAAAAAAACCTACTTAGTATATGTGTGTGTATTTATATATTTACACACACACACACACATATATATAGATACACAAATATTCACCTCCCTCCAGTTCAGAGGAAGGGCATGTCAGGCCACCTCAATTTGAGGTGGTTCCGAGGTAGATTTGGCTGAATTTTTT